TTGATGCATCGGGAATGATTATCAAACAATCCTTTGCTAAGCAATTCAGTGTAACTATTTGAACTTGCATTGCTAATCCACCTCTAGGCCTCTCTCTGTGAATCAATATTATTTTTTTACAATTCCTATTAGTGCAGAATTGTTGGCATTAGCATCTTGGAAATGAATTGTATTACCTTCGGACAGTAGTTCATCTTGAAGTCTAATGCATCTCACTGTGTGTACTTTGCGACCGGCAACTTTGCTCAATAATTGTTGGGTGTCCAGGTGTGTCTGGTGCTCTGTTGAAATGACTGTAACCTGTTGGGGAGTGGGGTAGGACAATGAGAGGTGATGGTTCACAGACTGATCTGTGAACTTTCACTTCTCTGTATGGAAACTTGTTGCAGGGTCAAATCCTTGTAGCCGACTTGTTGCCACGGTCAATCTCAACCTCACTTTTCACTACACCGACAGCAGAGGTCTTAGGTATGTAAATTTTTAAGGAGTTTCAAATATCTCTTTAATTTCTATGTTTTTATATATATATATGTATATTTTAAACTTTGCACAAGTTTTTAGAAGAGCTCCTGATGCATGTTTTTGTTTCCCTAAAGATCTTATCTTCAGAGTACTCTTATTTATTTTAAACCAGTGATATATAATGCATTATTTGTGTTAGAGATGCATTTTAAAATGTTCTTTAAGCTCACATTGCAGACTTTAAACCTTAATGAAACAAGCTATTCCTTTGACATCATTTAAGACTTGTTTTTATTATACCTATTTACTTATGAACAGGATCAATTCCTGAGGGCCGCTCCGCTAACTGGAGGAATGGGAGCACAATTGATGCGGAAAATGGGGTGGAAGGAAGGAGAAGGCCTGGGAAAAAATAAGGATGGAACAGTAGAACCTATAATGGTTGATTTCAAGACTGATCGCAAAGGTAATGATGCCTTTCACTCCATTGCTACAGCAGTGTGTGGATATTGCTTAATGTCCACACATTGAAAACAAATGTACAAGTGGTCGTCTCGCAAAGACTGAACAGTGAGGATGTCAATTTTCTAACAGACTATAATTGAATAATAAAATAATAATCCTTGCATCTGATATAGCGCCTTATCACGTCTTTCAGATATCTCTGATGTGGAGTCCTGTAGCTCATTGCTTAGAGCGCTCACCTCGTAAGTGAGAGACCTGGGTTTGATTCCCAGCAGGGCGAAACCTTGGGCAAGTTTCCTTACTCCACACGCCTAATGATAATCCCTCAAGGAAATAAATAAAATAACAATTTGGTGACTCAATCCATGACTGTTTGTGGGACGCTGCTGTGCGCAATTGGCTGCCGTGTTTCGCCCACAAAATATACAACCAATTCGCTTTACAGTATATTCTGTGAAGCGCTTTGAGACGTCTATCAAATGCGAGCATTATTATTATCTGAAACCGCTTCACAAATTCAAGGTCAGCAGCACAATTTTTGTGGAAACCCATCAGTGTTGCTTAAGATTATCCAATTCATTGCATCCCACCTACACGTGGAAATAGCACAAGAACCTACAGGATTGATTTGAATAAGCCTTATGGAACTTTGTCGCCTTCTGTGATCAGGAAAATATAATTTGGGTGCTTAAAAATTCTATGTTCCTTAAAATTTAAGATTGGACCAGATTCATGTCTGGAGGAGAACGGAATAAAATCTTTTTGCAGTGCCAGAACTAAGAAATTAATTTTGTAAGTTGCTAACGGCATTATACAGAGGATTGGTTTTTGAGTTCATAAAATACACAGTCATTCACTTTACGGTATATTCTGTAAACTGCTTTGAAACGTGATAAAGTGCTATATCAAATGCAAGGATTATTATTATCAGTGACATTTCTTTTGTTGTTTATTCTCCTTGGTTTAATATTGAACAGAATCCATTATGTAAAAAGAAATAAAAATCGTGAATGCTCAGAAACTCAAATAAGAACTTTTCTGGGAACCATAGCTGCCTTAACAGAATAGAATAATAGAATAGAATATAACAGATGTACTACTAAAATGCCAATTCGTGATATTTTAGGTCTTGTGGCAGAGGGTGAAAAGGCACAGAAGAAATCCGGAAACTTCCCCATAATGAAGGATCTATCAGGTATGAGAATTGTGAAAGGTGCTATACAAATGTTGCTTTTGTTGTGTATTTTATTCTGGTATGATGCCAGTTGCTATTGTTTTCTGAGGCACGATACCTTAATCTATATACCTAGAATGTTTAAAAACTTTCTACCACAATTCACAGGGAAGTGAACGCATTTGCTTATTAAAAAACACTGACTGCTGATTTTAATTCATTAATTTAATTGCAGTGCTGAAATGTTGCTTCATTTTGCTTATCTTCCCCCGCCCGCCGCCCAATATCTCACACGTTCTCCTGTAGGTGCTGACTTGTGCTAGAGCACAGTTCCTCAGACTCCACTGGCAAATATTGCCTCAAGTACTGTAGTTGTTCTTCACGATGAGTCGAGGCAAGATATCCGGTTCTGGGGAATCACAGACTAGGGTGGTTCCGGTAACTGAATTTCACACGTGGATTTACCAAGGTCACTGGCACTAGGACATTAGCTGATTTTATTTTATTCCACTGCGCTGCCCAATCTATCCTTTTCACCTCATACCCCAACACTCCACTTTCCACCTGACAAAGGTGTATCGAGTTCGGACGAAAGGTCATCGACCTGAAACGTTAACTCACTTTCCTCTCTCCGGAGATGCTGCCGACCCGCTGAGCGTTCCCAGGGACTTCTGTTTTTATTATAGCTGTATATTAAGTCCAGTTTTAGTGCCCCGATTACTATTTTTTCAAACTGCACTGATCACATACTGACAGTTTTTTCTGAAAAATATCTGGAAGAATGAAAGATTATGAGCGAACCGAGTCTTTTAAGTTTAACCAGTCACATACAGTAATTAGCAATTCTATATTTCTTACGGTGACTGCTTCGCTTGCTTTGTGAGTAATTTCCATTTCCTCCCTCTCTGACCTGTCTTTAGGAAAACACCCGGTTTCTGCCTTAATAGAAATCTGTAACAAACGGAAATGGGCCCCGCCTGAATTTTTTATGGTACATGATAGCGGACCTGATCATCGCAAACATTTTTTGTTCAAGGTGAGGAATTTGAATCATTGAATCCACCGCATTTCGGTTTGTAGAGGGAAAAAAATTGTGAATGCCGCAACTCGACAACAAAAACAGAAAATGCACAGTTTGACCTCTGAAAGAGGCCAGACAACACTTCTCGTGTGAACTCGCCTCAAAACTCATTCAGATTGTTCAATAGATTCTTGGCTTTGCTCAATTTCTGGCAGCTTTTCCTTGGGGCTGAGCTAAATGAATTTAACAGCTATTCCGGGAAAGTTGTGAAGGTTAGAGTTTGATGTTTATTAGCAAAGGATGAAGTTACTTTTAGCGGCTGAAGGAGGTGGACATTGAACGGCCAAGCATTTTGCCTTTTTTAACATGAAGTTAAATTATCTTTGAAGTAAGAAATATTTAGTGTAGAATATTTTGCAGCACTGTACAAAGAGGTATAACCAAAACTCTGCAACTCTCTCCTTCGATCCCTCCACCTTGCCCCTACTGTCCCCTTTCAAATCCCGCCTGAAAACTTTCCTCTTTGACCGTGCTTACGGCCACCTTCCCCCATCACTGTCTTATAACATTATTCAATAGAATATTAATTGGAGGCTGGGTTTCTGTAGTTCTTATAAACAATGGCCACGTCTTCAGTAAAGGACGTTGCTATTGTCTCCTTACGAAGCTTTACTTGTATTTCTTATTGGATACCTGATTTACAGTGCATGTATATTTCTGTCCAGGTGAAGATCGATGGCACAGAGTATCAGCCCAACATGGCCAGTCCCAACAAGAAACATGCTAAGGCCACAGCTGCTACCGTTGCTTTACAGGCCATGGGGCTTGTTCCAAAGGATAGCATATCTACAACCACAAGCTTTATGAGTGCCTCAGGTGATGATTAGTTTTTGGGATCTTGTCCTCGGTTGAATCCTTAAAGGGAACCAAAATCTGGGGAAAATGCTTTTCATTCAGAGTACTAATTTTAGAGTAAGCTCAGAGCTAGGATTAATTTTGTTGCTGTTTTTGTATACTGTCAAATTTCTTACCATATGTGGCCCATCATGTCCTCATTTGGCTTCTCTGGTGACATCAGATGGGAATCTTAACTGGAGGCTCTCCATTGCCAGTAAGAAAATCAACGAACTAAATAAAATTATTCTGGGCCCAATTTTACTCTTAATTTGAAGTATGGAACAAAAATAATTTTACCAGACTTCTCTTTCCCTTTAAGATATTTTTGTTGATATATTTGTATATAAAGCTAATCTGTGAAAATAACCTTTTTTAGAAAGGCAAGATGGTTATGAAATGACTTAGTTTAGTGCAGGTTTAATTGGTTGTAAATTAAAAAAAGTTTGAAATTCACAAGGCAAACAATTTGTTAGTGCAGTATTGCCAGTTGAATTCTTATGAACTGTTTAAACCCATTAATAACACGCCAGCCCGTTAGGAGATTCCTTCAATGCCAGTGTTCTAATGTATATATGGAAAGTGTCTGAACTCTTAGCAGTTTATAAATAAGAAAGCAACATTAAACCAAAATTGGGAAGGAAAAGGATAACTAGGTAAACTATTTAAAATGCTTTATTTATAAATCTTTTAGTATTAATGAAACTATTCTGGATAATAGCTGCTATAAGCTGAAACATAGAAAGGGCCCAAAGACACAAATTTCTTAAGACTTGTGCTCAAGTTACAATTTATATCTCATTTGCTCCAGAATTCAAGCATCCCTCCCACAATATTTGAATAAGATATTTTCTATCCAGTTTCTCAATACCCAGATCGAAGATAAAAAAGTCATTTAAACTAATTTCACTTTATGAGAAAACCCTACAAATCCTTAGCTCATGGGTCCCTTCAGATAAGTAGCAATAATTGAAAATATTTTTCTGGTATTTAAGACAAGTTTATTGAAATTAATGTATATACAATACAAGGCAGTGTCAAATCTTGTGATGCTCCAATAATTATTTATTAATTTGATGGTAGAAAAATAAATGGTGTATTCAGTTTCATAGCTGCATTCAGGTCACCACCTAAAACGGTGGAAGTAAATTATTAACAGATGTATTATATTTTGGTTCAGCTCTGATTTCATAATTTCCAGCCGTATCTGTAGTCATTCATTTCCAAATGCCTAATGGATGATTTTCCAAATACTGGTTGTTCCATTAGTTTCTCCAATGTTGCAGGATGTAGACCACTATTAGAAAGTTCCTTTGAAAGTAGCTCCTATAAGAACAAAAATGACTTCAAGCATTTCAAATCAGTTCAATTATAGTTTTGTGAATAAAATGTGGAGAGAACACGAAGCAAATCTATTGTTAGAATATAAATCCCTCATGCACTAGGCAGCTACAGTTGCTGGATTAATGTACAAAATAGTACTGTAAAAGGGCAGCAATTTAATTTGTATCCCATTACAAAATGCATTTTATTAGTTTTTTTAAATGGTAAGAGATTTAACAAAGGCAGTGGCAGATTAAAGAGAACAAGGATAAGCAGATACAAGGGAGAACTATTAAAATGTATGCAATTAAACTGTTAGTGAGTATCTTGTGAATCATGGCCAGCACTGTAAAGCATTTAAATGGTTTTATAATCACTGTGTATCCTAACTATTGATAGGGACAAAGTTTGGCTTTTGATACAGCTTCAGCAACCTATGCAGGGCAAGTGAAATAATAAACTTAATTATATATAGTCTATTGAAAATGCAACAAGTTAAATAAAAATCAAAGGTTCCTCACCTTGCTTTTGCATTGCTGCAATTTGAGGTCAACATTAAACACAGAAGTGGGTTCGTGGGTATAAAGATTGGCTGTAAATTTTCCCCTCTGTGCAGATTTTAGCATCAGTGTCAAAGCATGTAAGGAATTGGGCATGATGGGACCAGTAATCTCCAGGCTGTAGGAGTCTTTCATCCCAGAGGCATTCCGAGTCCTGATATTAATGCTTCGAGCCTGAATAAATAACAGAAATATAGTAGAAATATATTCTCTTCCACTCTCCCACTGAAAAACAAATCCTTATACCCTCAAGCTATACCTTCAATGTGTGCATTGTGGCTCCTCTGAATGCAGTTGGTGCCAGTAGAGTAGGTGGGAGTCCTGCCTGTGGTCCAGCCCCGGCCACTATACTTTTACTGTTTATCAGAAAGTTCAGTAAAGTAAATGTGTGGAGGCCCTTCACCAAAACCACAGATTCCGGCTTATGATCCATTCGCACAACACTGTGGTCCTTCCGACTATTTTAAAATGAAGGAAAATCCATTGCAATCCTTATGCAGCACATCTTTTTTAAAAAAAACACAATTGAACCATACCAATAGAAATCTACAATTCAACCAATTATAAAATATCTTACTAAAGTATTTCTCAGCAGAATGGACAATCATTCAACCCATTACCATAGTAAGGAGCAAATGGTTTGTTAAATTGTGCAGTTATTACCCATATTACTCATCTACAGATCTAGTTATTTTTAAATAATGCAATTGTCCCCCTCCCCTTGGATTGGATTACATGGAACAACAGGAGTGTGAGTGTGTCAGTACATTAGCTATGCCTAATTGTATAAGTTATTTGTACAAATGCATACAGGGGGCAATGTTCAGTGATCACTAGTTGAAACTCATAAGATTTTGCTTCCTAGGTGAAGAATACCAAGCTCAATTGCCAGCTGCCACAGATGAGGAGGCAATTTCAGAAGAATGTAAATTGAATCTGCCCTTTTTACTGTACAACTCTGCGTTATTATTAACAGCATTTTACCAAGGAGCAGGAATGTTAACTACGGATTTCCCACATCAATAATACTGTAGTCTGTTCAATTGTCTCGTTATGATTTCTTTTGAGTTTGTCAATTTAGTATTCAATTACAAAATCAAATCCAAACTATAAAATAAATATGGATTTAATGTGTTAATGTGGTGTTTTGTTTCATATGTGAAAGTTGGCAGATAATATAAAGCAAATGTTTTCATGGGCAAAGCTCTTCAAGTGCAGTAATTGTGAATGTCAACTGAACTAATATTTTACTTTCAAATAAAGTAAGCAGTGGCTTAATGTGAACCTTACATCAAAAAGGATACAGTTTAATGGACATGGCATCAGGCTTCTTAATCTTGTCTTGCACGCCCATCTCTTCAAGCCAGGAGAACCCACCATCATCCTCTTCATCACTACTACTGACTGGTTTCCTATGGTAAAGGTCAATGAGCCAATTTTAAACACGTTAGCTATTTAAATTCATAGTCACAGAAGCACATCAACTCCATAACAAAATTAAAAACAAGTGGGAAGTTGCCAATTACACACCTATTGTGGAAAAATGAAATGAAAGGAAAACTGAGCATTGAATTGCACCTGTTAACCAGTTTTAAAACCCTTAACCCTTGTAAAATGACTCAAATACTTAACCAGCAAGTATATCCATAACATTGTTTTCTTTTCAGTACAGTCATGCGCGAGAGAGAGAGGAGAAAAAAAAGCATACTTCTGAACATCTAAGCTTTCTTCTTTGGTTTCATCTCCTGCATTGTCTGCTCCTGAATCTGTGGGTTCACTCAGCCTCTGTCTCCCATTTCCAACATCTTCTACTAACGGCAAGGAAAAGTTGATCCCTATGTGAAAATAAAATATCTATTAAATTAACAGATATGTACACATTTAAATATCGGTTAACTAGGATAGCATTAGAGCACTATTTTCACACCAATGGGAGGTATAATGAGTGAATATTCACCTGGTTTAAATCGCTCTATAGAGGAGAGTATATCATACCGTACATTGGCAAACTTACTAATTTAAGATTTGCTTGACTCTTGTGACTAATTTATTTATCTTATAACTACATTCAGAAATAAATGAAAGAATAACTTTCACTGTTAAACTCGAAAGTAAATTCTGGCAAAAGATAATCTGATTCTATTCTAAACAAGTTATTGTGGAAGTTCAACAAATCAACTTAATTTTCTATAATAGTCCTGTGAAACGTTGAGAAATCTTAGAAATCTTCCCAACATGAAAGGAGCTATATCAAAGTACAGTATTGTTATTTTTATACTTGAGCTAATTTTACAAGTATGATTGAGATAGAAATGAGAATGTCAGAATGTAAAAGTAAATACGTGGCCTTGATATACTGAGACCTACATAATGAGTTCAAGTGTTGCTCCTGACTTTTTCCAGTAAGTTTCAATGAACTAATGCTTGGAATCATAAACCCAGTGGGAGGGGGTAGGGAATATTACATCAGAATGCAATATATCATGTTAGGTATGAGCATATGTTGAACTAAATTCAGAATCTATATTAGTATAATCCAATGGGCATCACATCTAACCTCATCAACTGAACATTACTAGCTGTTTAAAGAAAACATATTTTTCTTAAAACTTATTTCACTCTCGTATAGTTAGGTACAAAATTAAACAAATTTCTTACCATTTTGCATATTTCACTAAATTAGTATTCTACACTTAATACACTTACCTTCATTTTTCATAGCTTCTCTAAGACCACTTGTTGTAGGGGAAATAACAGCTGTAATAACATCACTTCCTGCTATTCCAGCTGCACGGAATAGTACAGTGAACTGATAGGTACAGAGGTAGCAATAAGGACAGAGCTTGGCCCGCAGTAGATTATACAGAGAACTGAAGCTGAATGACCTGCAAGGAGACAGCGAAAGGAATAAATTAGTTGTTGCACTTATTCCTGTAGAAATAACTCACTTTCAATTACATTTCTTTCCTTTTATAATGGCTAAGGTAATGCAGTCCAATGTATGAAAGTTTAAACTTTTTATTTATCCAATAAGGTGAGATTTTCAAGCAGTTCAAATAAAAGACTTCCAACTGTATTCCTAGCACAACTGAGATTTCCAACAATGATAGATGTTGTGGAGTCCTTAGTTGTTAGAGCGCTTGGCTGGGTTCAATTCCCAATCAGGGCGAAACATTGGGCAAGTTTGCTCTGCACCCCTCGGTTTACCTGTAAGTAGGAAGCCACTACTTCCTGACAAACTGTCAATTGGTGGATCGCTTTTCCGCAAGTAATAATCCCTTCAAAAATAAATAATAATTTGGCCACTCAATCCACGACTGTTTGTGGGACACTGTTGTGTGCAATTCTCTGCTGCGTTTTGCCCATAAAATAGTCAATTCATTTTACAGTATATTCTACAAAGAGCTTTGAGACGTCTTGAAGATGTGAAAAGGCGCTATTTGAAATGCAAGAATTATTATTGTACTGTATACCATTCACTCATCAGCACTTGTTGAAGTCCCTCATCATGAGACCACGGATTATTTTTACTTCTTATGTTCTTTTCTGTTCTTATTCGAGGAAAAAGTGGTATCCAGGGCAAGTTTGGATGAAGCCAGTAAACAAGACTTTGCTGGAATGCACAGCGCAATTCTGCACAGGATCCTGGATCCTAGAAAGCAGCAGCAACAAATTAAATCATAGAATCATAAAATTATACAGCATAGAAGGAGGCCATTCGGCCCATCGTGTCTGTGCCCGCTCTTTGAAAAGAGCTTCCCAAATCAACCCCACTCCCCCGCTCTCTCCCCATAGTCCTGCAAACTTGTCCTCCCCAAATAATTTTCTAAATCATGTAAAACAATTGCTAGATATGGCGATGACTAAAGAAAACATTAAATATTATACCATAAAATGACAGGACAAAGGTTCAAACAAAATACCACAAAGTGGTAGGGCAACAAGTTTCATTTACATCGGGCTCTTCATGTAGGGTAGCATCTTGGAGCACTTAACAAATGGCAGAGTTGGACGCCAAGCTGGGAAGAGAGGGGAGGTGTCCATAGACCCGGTCGAAGAGGAAGATCTTCAGGTTTGATCTGAAGACAGGCAAAAGAGGGGGAAAGATTTAAGGGGCAAGGGTTCAGTAATACCCTGTTGATTTGCTGATGGAGCAGTTCAGGAGAATCAGACCCGGATGGGGTATAGTACTGGATAATGCTTGGCAGCAGGAACGCTGGCTGATTTCCCCTTTGCTTAAAGAATGCTAAACTCAATTTATAACACATCTACTGCCACCCCAGGAGTCAATAACCCTCTAGAATAGTATCCCAGCACTCAAGATTTCATTTCAGACAGTACCTCTATATTCTGAGGAAAATCAATCACTGAGGCACGGCAGTGTTGCATTAGCCCCATAGCTTCCTCGGATGCCTTGAGATGACCGGACCAGTTAAATGGATGAGGAGATGTAAAAAGCAACCGTGTTTTTAGGCTCCAGTCTGCAGGAAATTCTCTGGACAAAGAGCCTTCTGCTAATTCTATAGGATTTTGAAGACTCTGGTAAAGCAAAACATATAAAATCACTCAACAATTTAGCTGTTTGGCATGAATAAATTTAAAGCAGCTCCATTTAGACTACCCAAATTTACAGTTAGAGCATCCCCAGCTAGTTATGCAAAACATTCAGATTAATTTACCGATTAAACTGCAAGGACAGCATTTACCTTTTGAAAAGGGAGCTTCTTGTTGGGAGCATTGACTTGGAAGTTGTGGTAACGCAAATCAAGTAAGAACACACTTACAAAATTTAGTACAAATTAACTTACGAGTTATTCGCAGAAGAATAAGCTGTGTGAAAGTTTTCCTTTCAATTCTAGATTCTTTTTAAAAAAATACATTATAATAGATAAGCAGAATAGCCTTACATTAATTGGTGCAGGTACAATTTGTTCTTGAGAAATTAGATCCCCTTCCAATATGTCATCTCCACTATTTGTGTAATTCGCCTGTGCATTGGGCAAACAACAGAAAAAATAATTCCTTACTTCAGCATTAGGACAGCATTGATTGTAATCAACTGATTAATTGTATTGAGACAAATTTTAAGGAAGCTTTCCTTCATAACCATCTTCAATCCCATATGATTGTAGTCTTGGCTGACTCTCCAAAACAGTGTCAACTGGGAGTGTTTCGTTGCTGAATGTACTATCAACCTATTAAAGATCCCATCGCAATACTCAAGAAACAAATGAAGGGAATTTCTCCTGCTACCCTGGCTAACAAACATGTGAACAGAAGATTATAACATGGAATGTGTTCTCTGCTCTCAAGTTCTTGCCTTCTGGGCTGTATGTGTGGGAGTCCACAGTAATCCCCAAATAGTTTTTCATGGTTATTTGCAGGACATTGCTGTGGGCAAGTTGGCTGTCCTGTTCACCTACAACAATAATAACATTGCATTTGATATAGAGCCTTGTGCTATTGAGATGTTTCAAAGCACTTCACAGGATATACTGTAAAGTGGGTTGACTGTATTTTGTAGGTGAAACGCAGTGCAGACAACACAGTCACTGCAGGTTACAGTAAATCCTGAGAAACTCCTGAGACCTCTTCCCCGTGTGAAAAGTGCTGTATCAAATGTAAATATTTATGATAATAATAAATAACGATGAGGATAATACTTGCGTTTGACATAACAATAACAATCCTTGCATAGCGCCTTATCATGTATTCGAGACGTCTCAAAGCGCTTCACAGAATATACTGTAAAGTGAATTGACTGTATATTTTGTGGGCGAAACGACGCAGCCGATTGCGCACAGCAGCGTCCCCACAAACAGTCGGGGATTGACGTGACGTGTGCGTGTGGGGAGTAAGGAAACTTTCCCCAGAGGTTGGCCCTGCCCGGCCGGGAATCGAACCTAAGCCCTCTCGCTTTGCCAGTCTCTTTGCGGCTCCAACCGCCGCACCACGACTGTTCGCGGGGACGCGCCGCCGCGTTTCGCCCACCCACCAAAGCACACGGTCACTACACTTGTCCCGCGAAAGCTCTGCGAGACGTCTCGAAGTCGTGACGAGGCGCTGTGTATTGAACGCGAGGATTATGATAATAATAATAATCCTTGCATTTGATATAGCGCTTTTCACGTCGGGAGGACGTCCCAAAGCGCTTCACAGAACACACTGTAAAGTGCATTAACTGTATATTTGTGGGACGGTGATTATCATCATCGTTACACTACACTACATTGCATTGCAGGCGTGGAGTCCTGTAGCTCAGTGGTTAGAGCACTCGCTTTGCAAGTGAGAGACCTGAGTTCAATTCCAGGCAGAGGGCGAAACCTTGGACAAGTTTCCTTACTCCACACAGAGCCTAATAATAATCCTCCAAAACCAAAACAATAATAAATTGGTCATTTTCAATAGAGTGTGTGTGGGGGAGAGAGTGTGTGTGGGGGGGGGAGAGAGTGTGTGTGGGGGGGAGAGTGTGTGTGTGGGGGTGGGGTGTGGAGAGAGAGAGTGTGTGTGTGGGGGAGAGAGTGTGTGTGGGGGGGAGAGAGTGTGTGTGGGGGAGAGAGAGAGTGTGTGTGGGGGAGAGAGAGACGCTGTGTGTGGGGGGGAGAGAGAGAGTGTGTGTGGGGGGGGGGGAGTGTGTGTGGGGGTGGGGTGGGGAGAGAGAGAGTGTGTGTGGGGGGAGAGAGTGTGTGTGGTGGGGGGGGAGAGAGAGAGTGTGGTGTGGGGGGAGAGAGTGTGTGTGGGAGAGAGAGTGTGTGGGGGAGAGAGTGTGTGGGGGAGAGAGGGGGGGAGAGAGAGAGTGTGTGGGGGAGAGAGAGTGTGTGTGTGTGGGGAGAGA